ATTCAGGGCATCATGAGAACTATCCTACATTGTCTTTCTTCTTCTTAGGCTAATCTGTCACATTCAGGGCATCATGAGAACTGTCCTACATTGTCTTACTTCTTCTTAGGCTAATCTGTCACATTCAGGGCATCATGAGAACTGTCCTATGTTGTCTTCTTTCTTCTTAGGCTAATCTGTCACATTTAGGGCATCATGAGAACTATCTTACATTGTCTTACTTCTTCTTAGGCTAATCTGTCACATCTAGGGCGTCACGAGAACTATCCTACATTGTCTTATTTCTTCTTCTTAGGCTAATCTGTCACATCTAGGGCGTCATGAGAACTATCCTGGTATTGGAAGTGGAATTGCTAAATGCCCTTTTGATCCAGATGATAATGCAACTGCTGTATGGGTTGGTAAGTGTTTTCTTATTAAATGTAACTTCTTTTTATAATTCTGTTTATTGCTTATTTATCATTCTATTGCATATCTTAAGAAACAGGTTTATATGTACAAAATCTTATCATCTTGTTAAAATTCTGACCAATTTATTATTTTCAAACTGAAGTTGTGAGATCTTGCAAATTTGAAAACAAAGATGGACTTGAGAATATAACATTGATTGATCAAATTTTTAAAGAAGGGGGGTTTAACTTGTGATTTTTTTTTTTTTCTACCACTAGGATATGATTTATTTCTGTAATACATCCATATAAAAGTCTTCTCTGTTATTTGTTGCGAAGGGAATTATTTTGCATTATAATATCTTTTATTGTTTGAATGACTCGTTAATTCTTCATTTGCTGCTTTATGTAAGTTTATTTTCATCACTATTATGTCACTGCAGGATGTGTGGAAAATTCAGAATTTTGCAGTGTAATGTATGCCATCAGGGGTATTTTTTTTTGTCTGATAATCAATGAGATCAATCTTTATCAATTTTTAATTTCAAAGCATTCCAAGATATTATATTAATTCTGATAAAAAATTTAAAAGATGTAATTTTTACCTTTAAATAAAGATTTTTTACTTTTTATTTCTTTGTTTGCAAACCTATGATTTACAAGATTAAATTTATGCTCTGTACTGCTAATGAATAGATTATTTTCACTAGTTAGAACTCTGTATTATATAATGTCTGGTGTTTTTGAAACACCCAAGAGATTTTCAAAAAGCTGTCACGTCAGACAAAACTTCATATCAGTTACCCAGAACTCTTATTCTACCTTGGGCATGAAAAACGATCTTTTTGGTTTTCAGCTGATACTCTGGGGATTGGTAGAGAAGAAAACACTGCCTTAAGCAGAAAGGCTCAGTGGCTGTTGTAACATTTTATATTTTTTGAACAAGAACTAATTTTTTGTGGTTTTCATCAATTCAAAATTGGTACCACAAAGCCAAAGGTGCTTTAACTCAGTTTTATTTTTATATAAAAATTGTTCAGAAGACAGTAAAGGTTTTTCATAAAACTATGCCTACTCCATTGAGATCGGAGGATCATTGCAAACCTTGTTTCATCACAATGGTAACCACTCTGATTAGTTTTACTCTATCTCATTTAAAAGACCCATGATGACAATATATAAAAAAACATAGATGTATTAGAATTTTTCTAGTTGTTTAGCCTCAAATTACCACTAATAAGGTAAAATGTTTTGATTTTTCTTTATGTTATTTTCCATTTATTTCACATGTTTATTTCTACAATATAGTTTTATGTATTATGTTAAAAAAACTTATAAAGAATAATAAATTCAATTTCATTATGTTTCTGTTTTGGCCATTTATTGGCAAAGGCTTCAGAATTTCTAAAGTTTCAACCGCCATTTACATTCATAGCACTTCTGTTTACAATACCTGAATGTTGGATATGCAAAAAATATTGTACTTCATAGGTTTTACCAAATTTGTACATAACGTGTAGAAAATACAGACATCAAAATTTTTACATGTAAAGATTGTGCTATTTATTATCTTTGCTTACAGATTTTAAACCTGTAATTCTCTGAAACACTGCAAAAATTGTTTTTCATGTTGTGTACTTCTGTTTGAGTGTGCTAGTGGGTATATTATTGAGTTGAGTACAGTTATTAGTGTGCTAGTGGGTATTATATTATTGATTTGGGTACAGTTATTAGTGTGCTAGTGGGTGTTATATTATTGATTTGGGTACAGTTATTAGTGTGCTAGTGGGTATTATATTATTGATTTGGGTACAGTTTTTAGTGTGCTTGTGGGTATTATATTATTGATTTGGGTACAGTTTTTAGTGTGCTTGTGGGTATTATATTATTGACTTGGGTACAGTTTTTAGTGTGCTAGTGGGTATTATATTATTGATTTGGGTACAGTTTTTAGTGTGCTAGTGGGTGTTATATTATTGATTTGGGTACAGTTATTAGTGTGCTAGTGGGTATTATATTATTGACTTGGGTACAGTTTTTAGTGTGCTAGTGGGTATTATATTATTGATTTGGGTATAGTTATTAGTATGCTTGTGGGTATTATATTATTGATTTGGGTACAGTTTTTAGTGTGCTAGTGGGTATTATATTATTGATTTGGGTACAGTTATTAGTGTGCTAGTGGGTGTTATATTATTGATTTGGGTAC